ATATCAAGTCATATCTAATTTAAAAATATTAAAACTTTTAACCAATAATTATTTTATAAAAACATATGAAATAATTATTTTATAAAATTTAAATTGTGTAATGATCCGAAATATGTTTCGGTTTATCATCAGGATTTGGTTTAAAGACATTGGTGCCTTGTCAAGGAGGTTGAACAAGATTTTATGGTGTAAAACACTAAAACTTATCAAATGATTGATTTATGATTATTTAACACCCTAACAGGTCCATTTATGAGCCCACTAAGAAAATCCACTAGTATCTAATATAATATTTTAAAGTTTTCTCTAAGTGAAACTTTAAGAGGTTGCTATGTGTCACTTTTGGTGTTAACAATTTTTATTTTTAGTATCTTATTTTTACTTAATTTTTACATTTGTCCCTCTAGATTTTAGAATTTTTTATTGATTTTTAGAAATAAAAATGTGATATCAATATCTAATATAATATTTTAAAATTTTCTCTAAGTGAAACTTTGAGAAGTTGCCATGTGTCACTTTTGGTGTTAACAATTTTTATTTTAGTATCTTATTTTTACTTAATTTTGACATTTGTCCCTCTAGATTTTAAAATTTTTTTTATTGATTCTTTAAAATAAAAATGTGATATCAATATATTAACTTTGTAATTAAAAAACAGGCCTATAAATACTATTTTAAAAACCTAAGAAAACATCTTGAGTGTTTGACAAAAAAAAAAGAAAACATCTTGAGAGAAAAAAAACTTTATATATGAACGTTTTGTAACATATGGTATTAAATATCAATAATTGATACAATAATTTTATAAGTTTAGGCCAAACTTAACTCATATTGACATACTGTTGATAATTTTGTACTAGATTTTTTCTCTTTACAACTAATATTAGAAAATGCATTTTTTTAAAAAATGTTATGAATTTCATTTATTGATAAGATAAAAAATAGTCCTGATAAGATAAAAAATAGTTCTGAAAAAAACTAAAAACATTTATGTCACATACGATCTTGAATTTTATATAAAGTATTTTATGCAAATACTCATAAAGACATGAATAAAAAATGAATTTATATAAAAAACTATCATTTTCTTAAAAAAATGTAGAAGTTATGTAACTTTATATAATATAAGAATCAAATTCTGTAAACCAAATATGTGATCAATCAATTTTAAAAACATTTAAATTTTACTAATTTTTTACATGTGTTTATCTATAAATTATTGCATATTTTACTTTTTAATTTTTATTTTTCCGGTCGTGTGTGGACTCAATATTTTTTTTTACAATAGTGGACACGGATAATAACAAAAATATTCCAAAACAATATGTTAAATTCTTGAACAAAATTGAAAATATAGTATTCAAATGAAAATATTTATATATATCATCATATGGCTCACTTTCATATTAAATATTTAAAAATGATGTTTGAATTTATATAAATAGAAATTGTGAACAAAAATTTTAAACATCATTTAAATATATCAATATTAGTATATATATATATATATAATATTAAAATATTTTTAAAAATCATCTATATTTATTGTGGATTTAATTACTTTTAGGTCTCTTCGTTGATACTTTTTGGATTCACTAAAATTTCGAACTTTGGAAACAAAAAGCTTTGATCAAATCCGAAGCCATGGAAACTGGAAACGATGCTTCGAAGCTTCAGATCAGAGACGAAGAGCTATTCCGAGCGGCGGAATCTGGTGATGCTTCGTTGTTCATTTCTTTATCTCCTCAACAGCTTCCAAAAACTCTCAGTTTCAGAAACGAAGACGGTCGCTCTCTCCTCCATGTCTCAGCCTCCTTTGGTCATACCGAGGTTTGTTCCTCTTTCTCTTCTAGTACTACTAATCTGTTGTTAAGATAGAAGAAGCATTAACATCTTTGATTACTCGAAAACGAAGAAGTTGTGAGTAAATTTGCTTTATTGTAGCTGCATAATCAAAAGTTGTTTAATTAATGAGAAACCTTGGGAAAAATTTGATTCTACTTTTCTAGCTCTGAAAATTACATGAAATTTGCGTTGTTGCTGAGCTCGTTAGCAATTTGGGTTCTCGTGAAAAGTATTGTAGTTTTCATATTTGGTTCTGAAAACTGAAAGATGTGGTGATTGGGGTTCTCTTGGATAGAGTGGGTTTAGGGAAAACTTTAGACATTAAACGCTTATAAATGTGGAATCTGCAGGTAGTCAAGTTGCTGTCAAGTGTAGATGACTCAAAGACTGTAATCAATAGCAAGGATGATGAAGGCTGGGCTCCTCTACATTCCGCTGCTAGCATCGGCAATGCTGAGCTCGTTCAAGTCTTATTGACTAGAGGTTTGTTGCAGTCTTGTTTGCCTTAATTGTTGTTGAAACACGGAATATCTCGATTTCCTCGTATCAATAAGTAAAGATTTTTCTCATTAGATTCAAATTCTACCTCCATGGAATTGAACAATCAAGTAATTGCATATAAGTTCTTATCTTGAAGCAGCTGTTTGTGTGTTACTTCTTTTACCGATAGTAGCTATTGTTTCAATTACTCATGAAATTCAAAATGTACTAAGATGATTGATCACCAAATATATATCTCTGTAATAAGACAGTCATCCATGAATATTGGCGATAAAGTGATAGCGTATAAGTTCAGATGTTGAAGTGGGATTTATGTGTTGCTTCTTCTACGGATTAGCTCCTCTTTCAGTTCCTTTTAAGATGCAATTATGAGGAGATTAATAAAATTTGCTGATGGTTTTGATTTTGTGTTCAGGTGCTGATGTCAATGCCAAAAACAATGGTGGTCGAGCTGCTCTTCACTATGCTGCTAGCAAAGGATGGTTGAATATCGCTCAGCTTTTACTTACACACGGCGCAAAGATTAACATAGCAGACAAGGTTTTGTAGCCTGACATCATTTTCCTTTCTTTGAAAACAATTAACTTGCATTTACACAGAAAACAAATTGTCGTGTGACTTTCAGGTCGGTTGCACTCCTCTGCACAGGGCAGCAAGCACCGGAAAGTCAGAACTTTGTGAATTCCTTATCGAAGAAGGAGCAGAGATCGATGCTACGGATAAAATGGGCCAAACTCCACTCATGCATGCAGTGATCTGCGATGACACACAGGTAATGTCCAATCTAATCTACCTTTAAAGCTCCATCCTCTCTAAAAGCTGAAAGTCTCTAAAATCTTTGGGTATCTCTGTGATTCCATGGACAAGGTCGCGTTTCTGCTTGTAAGACATGGTGCAGATGTGGATGTAGAAGACAAGGAAGGCTACACCGTTCTAGGTCGAGCTTCCAGCAGTTTCCGACCAGCACTTATCGAGGCTGCTAAAACCATGCTTGAAGGATAATAATTACTTTGATCTACCCAAAAACATAGTCTATCTAACTTTGAGAGTCTTGATTCGTTACAATCTTTGTTCTTTCATATATCAGGAAACAGTAGAACATAATAAAAAGGGATTATTCTTTTTATATGTTCATGTCTGCAAGCAAAATGTTTCATACAATCTTCAAAATGTTTATATTGCACTTTTCATTGAGAGAATAGGTGTTTTTTTTTTTTTTTTAAATATAGGGGCTTTTATGAAAAAAGATTTTTCCTTTACCCTTCTTATCTCCTAAGAAGTCACTTACCCTCCTCACAAAAAAATCTTATGACAATGATGCAAACCAAAATCTCTAGTTTCTCTCGACCAAGCTTCACTCACCATGAACCAAGAAAAGTTCATCATCCTCGTATCTCCATGGCTCTAAGC